TTTAGGGTTTGGTTTAGGGTCTGGGGTTGCGGATCCCCAAGTTTTAAACCCTAGGCCCTGGAAACGACCAGACCCACACTTCGAGGGAATCAAACAACTGGGGATCGGATCTGACGGCCGTAGCTTGAGAGGGCCCTGATTCTTAAACTTTATCCAGGCTGAATGGCAACAGACCCCTAGTGTTTCAAGGCCGGTTGGGGCACCCCTAGGCTTCTCAGCCGTCACCCAAGACCCCAAACCTTAACACCACGAGGAGTGCAAAGTCTACAGCAAACCCTACACCCTACACCCCAGTCAGACCTGGAATGCCTTTGTGGCAGAGCTTCTTTCAGCTTTGTCAGGTTTAACGCGGCCTAGCTTGAGTTGTCGCACACACGTAGCGAAAACAGCACAAATTGAATTCATGTATACACTGTACACCGGGATGCATACAAATGCCCCGGCTTGACCCCGTGGTAAGTTCCACAAAACAGCCCGCTGGCTTGATCCCACCCTAAGGGTCCAAGTACCCAATAATCATATACTCTTCTGAATACTAAGCTACAAACTACTATCCGTAACCCAAGTACATGATTATTACGTCCTTTGGACCCTTAGGGCTACCTCCTTTCGGACAATGAAGCTTTTGCCCCGAAACCCTAAAGTTCCTAAAGCCGAAAGAGCACAAAACGCGCCGTACTTCTGGAGATTGGACGCACTTTCCGCATGCTCCGCAAAATGGCTCAAGACAGTCTGTAGCCCAGAGACAAAGATGATGATGATGATGATGATGATGGTGGTGGTGGTGGTGGTGGCTATTACAATGATAAGACTGCTGTTGTTAATCTGTTTTGTTGGTAGTTACTGTTAAGATTATCACTAATACTAATATTACGATTTCTATTCTTGCTGCCAGCAGTACAAATATGATTACAAGTTTACCACTGTAATATTACTAGTACTATCGCTACGAATAGTACAATTGTTACAGACCTCGACCGCAGTGTGTAGTTCGTAAAACTCTGTGCTTGCTGTACCCATCAACAAAAACTTTAAACCCCCAAGATCTCCAAACTGTGACTGGTACTGGGCGGCTTTGATTGTCTGCCTAACATTCTGCAGGCTGCGCTCGACGCACGACCCATCGCCCGCGGGGAGCTTGTCTTGTCAGTGGCAATCTGGCAGGTCACGGAATTAAGGGTGTAGGGTTGAGAACATGCACTCGCAGGGCTTAGAGCTTCAGGGACTTCAGGGTGGGTTTGGCGTTGAGGACACTCGCCCCATTTGGGAGCAGAGTGCCCTCAACCCCGAAACTCGTGTATCTTCCCCTTTCGAGACAGGCCTCGGCCTGGGGGATTTGAAGCTGGCGAGGGACACCACTGGCTGTGATGATCTGCCGTATATGTTGGATATGATAGGGAAAAGTGACACTCGCAGGTAAGAGTGCAGCTTTGAGTCGAGATCGAACAATCATCAAGCCGTGCCGAAACGTCAGTGCCCAAACCCGTAACACTAGACCGCAAAGCACCACGAAACCTCAAACCCAATTTCTCAGTTCAGACTTCTTGATACTGACCCTTGGTCAAGGACCTCGCGTCGCCGAGACGGTAGCTGGACCAGCTGGAGGACGACGACAGTGCCATCAGCACAAGCTTTCCATAGCAATAATTAACTAATGTGACTGGGAGCAAACACAGCCGTGGATATTTCCGGTTAGTTAGTTGCAAGGAAGAATCATGACATGTTTTTCGTTGCGGGCAGCTGTCGCACGCTGAAACCCCATGTGTCAACTCTTGCTTGCGAAACTATGATGGAAACGGCGTCAACAACAACGACAGAATGATAGTGTTGACACGAGGTTCGTACTTATGTACATGGTAATTATCAGAATCGTTGAGATGCGTTGTTTGTGTGTCGGATTCCACGACTTGCGGGCTCTTGGCTTTCAGGGTCACAGACCGTGCGTGGGATTCTCTGTCTTCATGTGCTCGGGATCTCCAGCTCCAATCCGCACTTAGTGTCTGCAGCTTCACCTGGAGCCAAGGAATTATCATCGACCGAGCTGCTTCTTCATAGCTTGGTCACTTAATGCGACAGTAATCAGTGCGGCGGTTTAAGCTACTGTGGCCACCGTACATTTAGCACAACGGAAACAGCGGTTTGTCAAGATCACCCACCCGAAGCGATGCCAAAATGTGCACGCATCTGATACATCCTTTACTCTTCGCCTAGCGTTTCTTAGTGCAGTTCATGACAGCTGACTGAACTACTACTAGTAGCTTTGTGGAGCTACTAGTGCAAGTCGTAGCCGTCGTAGAAGCAGAAATAGACGTCGCAGTAGCAGTAGCAGTAGCAGTAGCAGTAGCAGTAGCAGTAGCAGTAGGAGTAGCAGTAGCAGCAGCAGTAGCAGTCGCAGTCGCAGTCGCAGTCGCAGTCGCAGTCGCAGTCGAGTCGTCGTCGTCGTCGTCGTCGTCGTCGTCGTGGTCCTAGCCGCGGTCGTGGTTGTCGTATACTGTAGTC